ACTCGAATTACATGGGTTTTTGACGCGGTGATCGATTGGAAGTGTCCTTTGATTGGGTACTTCCCAAATGGAACACTTGGTTTGAATGCATACCAATAGAGGAAGAACAAGGAAAAGAAAAAAAGAAAAGGAAAAAAAAAAGGCTCCAAAAACTAAGGATAAGGTCCCATGATGATGGAGACAATAATGAAAGTCGTTGTTTTCCCAATATTTTGGTGACTTTATGATGAGGAAAAATAAATATGGTTGGCGACTTTGCAGTTCTAGAGAAAATGACGGTGGGCTGGGATAAGGCCCGGGTTTCTAGTATTTTTATTAAAATATGAATAATTATAATTCTATTAATAATTTTGTATTAATTTTGAATTGTTATTATTTTTATTGATGATTGTTTAAAAGATTAACACTTTAATTAGTAATAAAAGATTGTATTTATCATGAGAACTTAAAATTGGTAAAAAAAAAAATTAGGATTAAAGTTATATGCATGCTAGTATCTATATAATATACATGCTAATATCTATTTGGGACCTATTTGACACGCGTTTCTCGAATTCAAAAGTAGTTTAGTTCAGGACAGTGTAAACCTTTTTATTTGTGACCATTTTTATTTCTCCTTTTTACCTATTAGAAGAAGTACACTTTAGAAGAGCTTTTGAGACATAAATAAGAATTGTTTATATATCTTTAATAAACTAATCTAACTTTTCATTTGTAGTTATCTTGCTTCTCTTACCTTTAGGTTGGGATTGTTATTGGAGTCGTTAAAGGTACATAAATAAATATTTGTTAGTAAAAATGCACAAAAATTCTATGTACAATTATCAATGCATTGTTTAATCATTATTCTAGAAGTAAAAGTTGTGTTTCTTAAGTCATTTTTTTTAAAGAAAATGGATAATTCAACATTCGAACTTGTGACCACAAACTCAACATGATACTCTATTATCGCTAAGCCACCATATTTGACCTATAAAGTTAAAGTTAGCTTTTATAAGGCGATGCAAATTCTAAATTGGTCCTTAGTTTTCTTTAAGAGATTGCAACCAAGGAAAGTGCAAGTTATGCCAATTCCAAACAAGCTTATATAAAGTCATGCCAATTCTATATAAGCTCTTTGTTTTCCATTTGAATTTATTAAAAAAAAAACTATTTGAATAAACTTTAGAGAGTTTTGTCCTTGAAGAAGAGCATTTAATCAAACATACACAATGTAATTTCTCAAGAAAGCTCTTATAGAAATACATTGAAACTTTTATTAGAAGTCTAGGTCTTCAATGAGGTTTTATACTCTTCATTCTAATTTTTCTATTACTTAAATTAAAATTAAACCATTTTTAATAATTAAACTCCTATAAGAATATAGTTGCAAAGGTTGACTGCTATAATTTTTTTCTCTATTATCTAAGTACAAATCTATTCAAACGATCCCTGATTATTTTTCCATAAATTAGTTCTAGTGATAAGCTGCCATTCCTTTTTATTTCTTTTCTTTCTTCTTTCTTCAAAATTGTTTTTCTTTTGTAATTGTAGACATCAAACAAAAAAGGCGTGTGTATTATAATGAAAAAGTAATGTTTAGAACGAATCTACCTTTGTGTTTACAACAAAGAAAATGAAAAAAGAAAATGTTTCTTTGAAGCATTTTTTAAGAAATTGTTGTTCCGGTCCTTGTGGAGTCGGACTTTTCGAAGTGCTAAAGTACTGCTACCATTAGTACTATTCTTAATAGCCTTTACTTATCTTCACCATTTTATTTGTTTATTATATTAATCCAACTCAAAATTCATACCTTGTACTTTTTTTTTTTTTTTTTTATAGTCATACCTTGTAAAGTAAAGGGGAATTATTTAAAAAAAAAAAAAAAAAAAAAAAAAAAAAAAAAAAGAGGATTTAAGTTAGCAATATGATAACACTGGTTTGGTGATTTCTGCGTTTGACTCGAGAGATCCAATGTGTTAAGATTTTCAGAAGTGCTAGTAAAGAAATATCGTAGAAACTCTGCAAATTTCTGTGTACGATGTAATCTAAGACGATTAAAGTTAACTCTCAATTTATAGCCGGACGCAAGTGTAAAAGTCTTACTCGTTATAATAGCTCATACGTAGAATTAAGAAAACATATATTAAAAGTTGCCAATATATATATATATATATATATATGAATAAAAGAGAGAGTTAAATTCATGTATAGTTCCTGAATTTTTTTCTCTTTTTATAATTATTCATTGTAGTCAATTTTTCTTATGAACAGTTTTTGAACTTTAAAAATGTCTCATAAATAGTCCCTTTGGACAGAAACCGTTAACTTTGTCTAATAAATAGTCCTTAAATTATCTTCTTTCTACTAAATTTAATCCCTAAACTTAAAAAGAAACATGTTATCTTAAAAATTAAAAAATCATAAAAAGAACTAAAAAAACTAAAAAACTCAAATAAAAAATAAAAAAAAAATGAAAAGATCTAAAGAACAACAACACAAGTCATCATCTTCTCCACTAAAAATATGAATATAAAGAAATTAAATCAAAAAGTTCTACAAAATATTCAAATAGCAACAAAGGCAAGCTCAAATCCACAGCAAACGTCCAAACTTTGAACACCAGTCGAACCGCTGTCAATGGAGCCAAAAAGTGCAATTTCAAGATGCGAAACCCTATTGAGTTCGAATCCAAAAGCCTCGCATGAGTCAAATGAGGCTAGAGAGGGAAGGAGCGGATGCGATGGGTCTCGTATGCACGACCAGAGTAGGGAAAGGAAGTAGCGGAGGTGACGAGCGGATGGCAAGGAGAGGGTATTGTTGGGTAAAAACAGAGACCTATTAAGAATGTCCAATGTCATTAAGAAGCCCATTAAGAGCACAAGTACAACTAAGCCCTGTTGCCACGTCATCAACATTAAGCAATAACAGCAAGAAGTCGACCCTTCAAGAAGCTTCAAGGGGGTGAGGCTTCAGGCTGTGCCTAGGGAGAAGAGGCTTCGTTAGGTCCTAACGGAGTCAAGGCTTCTCAAGATCAAGAAAGTGTTTAAGGAGTCGAGATTTTGTAAGACTAAGTATTTAAAGAGTCGAGACTTCGCAAGGTTCTTGCTTCAGGCTACACCTAGGGCGAAGAGGCTTTGCCGACTCTTACGAAGTTGAGGCTATTACAAAGTCGAGGCTACGGGAAGATAATGAATCCATGAGATTTGCTCCAGAAGTCAAGATCTGTATTTTAAATATGAAATTTAAATATGGATACCCCACTAATTGATTGTAATCTTTATCTTTTAGGAAACTATATCAAAAGATAAGAGAAATATCTCAAATTCAAATAAGGAAGGTTTATGGGCAATGACCCAAGCTATAAATAAGGGATTATAGACTAGAATTTCCCCAAGATCTCACACTGAGAAAAAAACGTGTAATATCTTCTCAAATTAGTGAAATTCTCTCCTCTTTCTTACAGTGGATGTAGCTTTCAAATCGAGGGTAAACCACTATAAATCTTCATGTGTTCTTATTTTTGCTGCATTTAACTCCGTTCTTCTATATTTATATCGCTGTGAATTGCATTCATTTATCTCAAAATTCGTTAATTCTTTGTTGACCAATTTTCACCTTCAACAGAGGGGCTGACGAGCACAGGGCTAAGGGAGGGTTGACATATCCTGAAAAAAATCTTGAAGGGGAGGGGATTTAAAAATTTTGGGTTTTTTATTTTATTTTATTTTATTTTATTTCTAGATCTTAGGGAATATATATGTATATATATATATATCTATAATATATATATATATATATATTTGAGTTTGTGGGTTTTGAAGCTTTGAGAAAGATTTGTAATTTTGATTTCTATTATAGTTATTGTTTCTTTTAACACATAAATTATTTTTAGAAAAAGAAAATAGGTTAGGGACATTTTCTGAGACAAAATTAAAGGTTTCCATCTAAAATTTAACAGATGAACCATTTATAGAACACTTTTAGAGTTCAGGACCGTTCATAAGAAAAATTGATTACTAATTGTAGAAAGAACAAAAAAATTCATAGACTATCTATGAATTTAACTGATAGGGTCACTGTTTTTGTCATTCTCAGTATTTACTGTTTGCCAAGTAAATTTTACAATAATGTATATAATTATTTAAATAAAAATAATATAATAAAGAGACGTTTGGTTCATAGATTATAATTATGTTATTAGAATTATTTTCGATTTACGTATATTTTTTGTAAGAAAAAAACACTATAGCGAATCATGAACTATGATTCAAATTATGATTTGAATTCTCTAACCAAACATCTCTTAAAATTCTCGTATCAAATAATAAATATAAAAAATAAAAAAAAAGAATAACAAAAAAATAACGCGTATTTTTAATAATAAAATGAGACCGTATTTCTCAAAGTCATGCTTCATCACTCTCTAGTCACGTTACAAGTCATTTCTAATCCATTTTGTCCTGAGTTGCAATCACGTGATTTTTACCACCAAGAACTGATCTTTCACGCAAAAATTGCTGCTATAATAACAAAATAAAAAAGGCTCAAGTTTTCACACTCTCGGTCAATGGTTGCTTTGCTAATGCCAAATCAAAGCCGAAACCAGTCAGCTTTTTAAGACTGCAGACTTTGCAGCCCACGGAAAATAACGTCCACTATTTCACCACCAAGTACAGATTTAGATTCCATTCACACCGAAAATACAGACTAAGAACACGTTTATTTCGCTGATTCAAATTGAAATGTGATTTTATGTGAAAATTTTTTTATTGTAATAAAAAAATTAAATGTGATTATTTATAAAATTTTTTTACTGTAATAAAATTTAAATTCTAAACTCAAATCGATAAAATGAACGAAACCTAAAGCTATTTGACACGGACCGCCAGTACCTCGAGCATTTTTCAAAATATCTCGTCTTACTACAGTTTATTTCCAGAAGAATTAACAGAAGTACAGAACTTTTAGGGAATCCACGTGTCACCATGTAAGAATACATTGCTTCAGCACAACAGGAAGGAGGAAAATGGACATTGCTTCACACAATTCTCTAAAGACTCAAGTTTAGGCAGAGAAATGAGCTAAAATCAGATCATCCTTGAACTACCAGTTTAACAAGAGAATAAAGTATATAGTTGTTTTAGCAATTTTACCGTCTAGCAGAACTCTCAAATTGCAGTCAGAAGCACCAAGAGTCCCAAGCAATTTTATTTAAGGCTTTTTGATATGCCAGCTTTACTACACTCAGGAAAATATTCTAGATCGAAAGTATAGCACATGATGGGTATAATACATGTAAAATACTTAAGCAGACAAGTAGCGCTTCATCCATGACTCGAAGCGAGACCAGGCGAGCTGTGCGGAAGCTTTATCCTCATCTGCCATTCCCATGCTCTTCCTCCTCTTCACACCTTCTGGGGACCTATTCATGAAAGCATGAGCATTGCCTGGATAAATGTGTACCTCATACGGGACACCTGCTGCTTTCAGTTTCTCCTCCAAAGACTTGGCAGCCTGAAAGTCATCCGAGTAATCGAATTAGCACGTTTTCAATCAAACTAGGAAATTTAGCTATCATAGAAAGGGCATTAGTCAGATTATGTATTGCCGGCATCTAACTTGTACGGAAACAAAACTCAAGCCTTGTTGGTTCACAATGTTTTCATGCATAGTTCTAAGTATCCACATATTTCTCTTACAATCGTTAGAACCATTTATTATGGAAGGCTCATATGGGTTCCAATATGTTGAATAAAAATACATAAGGACCGACTCGATGTCTCTTGTTACAAGTGTTTGTTGTATAGCAAAGAGTACAGCACTCAAGTGTTTTGCCTAAGACTATTTGGTCTAATCCAAGGGGTTTAAGGTGGGGTTTTGAAGGGAAGTTGAGGGTTCGGTTTGATCAAACGTCGTATAAAAAAGATAAAGAAAAAAGAAAAAAACTCGATCACAGCAACACAATCAGAAAGGACTCGAATGAGATTCACTACTTAACAGGAAGGTATCACTTGAATCACTGCTCAGTTGTCACTTTTCTTTTTCTCTACTTCTCTTGGCCGTATCATGTGAGCGCCGACATGGGATCCAACTTCCAAGGATCATATTGACCAGGAGCCCAAATATGAAAAGTCTTGTTTTAACACTTGGGTTTTGCTAGCAATGGGACTAAAAAAACAAAAAAACAAAAAAAAACAAAAACAACAACAAAATCTTCGATCTTGTTATCTGTTAGGATTGCTCTTACTTAGTTGGCAATTTTTTTTGCTGAAAATCGGTAGTATGAATTCAAAGAAACAACTTTTTCCTCTTTGGGTTAGCTGCACCAAATTTAGAATGATCCACCGGATTTGGACTAATTTTGTTGAAATTGATTGGTGGCTGATTTGGTTGGAGGTATCTACGAAAAGAATCCGTGGTGATTAATTTGCTTTTGAAAAGGTTGGGTGGTGTATGCAGCAGGTTTGAATGAAGCTCTTTTGGGTCGACATTGTGTAGAACATTTTGTGGAGTTGAGTGTCTGTGATAGATTTGTTTTTTCTTTTAGTGGAAGACTATCCTTATGGTGCATGTCAATTCTTGATTGTGAAGCAATATTACAAAGTCAGGTGGTGCCCGCTAGACAAGTCCTCTAAAGAGACTCAACACAACGGCGATACGGTCAAGAAGGGAATCTTTGAGTGTGTAAGACCACTATTGGTGTTTGTAATCTTTCAATCTTAGTGGATTATTCACTGTCTGGGCGTGGTCCCGCAGATGTAGGTGTGCACACCGAACTGCGATATCAATTTCTTGTATCTCTTACGTTTCTGCACTATTATTTTCTACATTACTTCTCTGCACAATTATTTACTGGTTTCTGAATCCAAAACACAAACACTTTTTGTGACACCGGGATAAAAACAGACCTTTCAATTGATATAATAGCGGTTCACTAACCGTTTGTTTGGTGAGCTTTTAGAATTTGGTCTGTAGTGTCAGTGATGGACTTTATGAAAGAAAGTGGTTCAGTTTCGCACCCTCCTCTCCTTGATGGATCCAATTATTCATATTGGAAAGCTCGCATGAAGGCGTTTATCAAGGCAATCGATGAAAATGCATGGTGTGTTGTATTGATTGGATGGGAACATCCAGTAACCAATGACTCTGAAAGGAAAGAAGTTATGAAGCCTGAAAAGAAATGGTCCACTGCAGAAGACAAATTGGCAAATAACAACCCAAGAACGCTAAATGCTATTTTCAATGGAGTTGACGCCAATCAGTTCAAGCTCATTTCAACCTGTGAATCTGCCAAAGATGCTTGGGAGATCCTACAAACTGCACATGAAGGAATGGCTGCAATTAGATTATCAAAACTGCAAATTCTTACTACAAGGTTTGCGAATCTTAGAATGTTTGCTAATAAAACTATTTTTGACTTTAATTCAAAATTGAGTGACATTGCTAATGAGACATTTGCTCTTGGTGAAAAATTCTCTGAGGAAAAACTTGTGAGGAAGACACTGAGATCACTTCTAAGCAGATTTGCCTATAGAGTCACAGCTATTGAGGAGGCCAAGAATGTGCAAACGATGAAGCTAGAGGAGTTGATTGCTATGTTGACAAAAAACTTCAACCAAGTAATGAAGAAATTTAACAAAAGGAACAAGAGACGGAGATTTACAACATGCAGATCCAATTACCAGGGAACCATCTTCCAAAATTAAGAAGAATCATCCAGTTGAAGAGGTCATTGGAAGCATTCTTGATAGTATACGTACTCGAGATAAACCAAAGCAAAATTATCGAGACATGGTGAGATATGTGTGCTACACTTCTACTGTGGAACCAAAGAATGTTAAACAAGCACTTCAAGATGAGTTCTGGATAAATGCAATGCAGGAGGAGTTGGACCAGTTTGTGAGAAATGATGTGTGGAGCTTAGTTCCTAGACCAAGTGGTTCCAATGCTATTGGTACTAAGTAGATCTTTAAGAATAAAACTGATGAACATGGGAACATTATCAGAAACAAGGCGAGACTTGTTGCACAAGGGTACACTCAGGTTGAAAGAGTTGATTTTGATGAGACTTTTGCTCCAGTTGCAAGACTTGAGTCAATCAAACTTTTGCTCTCTATTGCCCGTCTGTTGGGGTTTAAGTTGTTTCAAATGGATGTGAAGAGTGCATTTTAAATGGGTTCTTGAATGAAGAAGTATTTATAGAGCAACCTAAAGGTTTCGAAGACTCTCTTCAACCTAACTATGTCTACAAGCTCAACAAGGCTTTATATAAATTGAAGCAAGTCTAATATGAATGGTTGATATATTTCTTGAACATGAAGGGCTATACGAGAGGGGGAGTTGACAAAACTTTATTTATCAAGAAGTTCAAATCTGGAATTATCATTGCTCAGATATATGTGGATGACATTGTATTTGGATCCACTAGTCAGGGAAATGTAGATGAGTTTGTTGACCAGATGAGGGAGTTTACGATGAGTATGGTGGGCGAATTGAACTATTTCTTTGGCCTGCAGGTGAAACAAATGCAAAATAGGATTTTCATTTCTCAAAGCAAATATGCAAAAAAATTGGTACATAAATTTGGTCTTGAAAAATCAAGACATTTGAGAACTCCTATGGGCACAAATGAGAAATTGATGAAAGATGATAATGGCGCTTCAGTTGATCCTAGTCTCTACCGAAGCATGATTGGGAGTCTCTTGTATTTACTTCTAGTAGACCTGACATATGCTTCAACGTTAGAGTTTGTGCTAAATATCAGACAAATCCTAAAGAGTCTCACTTGGCTGCAGTTAAAAGGATAATTCGGTATGTAAGTGGTACAGTTGACTATAGAATTTGGTTTTCTAGAGATACAAATCTAGTCTCGCAAGTTTTAGTGATGCAGATTGGGCTGGCAATGCTGATGATAGAAAAAGTACTTCTGGTGGATGTTTTTATCTGGGGAATAATCTTGTTTCCTGGTTTAGTAAAATGCAGAATTCCATCTCTCTATCCACAACAGAGGCAGAGTATATAACAGCAGGAAGCTGTTGCACACAGCTATTATGGATGAAACAAATGCTTGAAGATTATGGTATTTCACAAGATGTTCTGACTGTATACTGCGATAATACTAGTGCAATAAATATCTCTAAAAATCCAGTCCAACACTCTTGCACGAAGCATATTGATATTCGTCATCACTTTATCAGAGAGAACTGGTGGAAAAACAGTCACTATTGAATACATTGCTACTGAAAAACAATTGGCAAATATTTTTACAAAGACACTGGATGCTCTCCGATTTGAGTCTTTGAGGATGGCTCTGGGAATCTGTGTAATGTAATGTATAAAAAAAAAATAAAAAATAAAAAATAAAAAAATAAAAACGACAATGCATTTTGAGGCGTTTGTGTGTTCCCGGGAGTTTGTTTATATGAATTTTGGAGCTTTAGGGTTTGAGCCTAAAACATCCAAAACAAAAACCCCAAACTCTCTTCTTCCTCTCTTTCCTCGGTCCAATCCGTCCAAATTTTTCCTCAACAATGGTGAAAACTCACAATTCTCAATCCAAGGAAGTCAATGAAGCAGTTGCGAAATTCCAAGAGGAATTACGAGAGAGAGTAATGGAAGTGTTTAAACGATCTCCGCTGAAAAAGCCGAAGGCTCCATCAACCTCCATCGCGATTGCTCCTCACCAGAATTCTCAGCCGAACCGGTTCCTCTCGCCATTATTTGTTCGTCGGCAATTGTTCTGTTTGTCACTCCGTCAGAGTCCGGCCACCGTGAAAAAGTTTTCTCCACTCGGGGTTCTCCAAATTCTGATGATTCCACCACCACTGCTCCGATGTCTCTGCCACCAGCAGCCTCTCCTGCCGATGCTGGTGTATCTCAGCCCTCTCCTAGTCATCCGCCTCGGTCACCCCCAAACTTCATGAAGTTTCCTGTAAGACTGGGTTTTCCTTCTTGGACCTCTCGTTTCCCGGTCTATCCAGAAGGGATGAAACAAAAGTCCCCAACTCGAATTGAAACCAAAATTTGGGCTCAATCTAAGAAGCAAAAGAAGAAGAGGTCTGCCTCCTCGAGTGATAATTCCTTCCATCAAACAACTGATCCTGGTGCTTCTGATGAGGTTGCTGTGGTCGAACAATCTCAAGCCTCCACTGGACCATTGCCAAAGAGGAAAAAGCAGAAGAAAACCACTGCTCCAGTCAATTCTTGCAGGGTTACCAGGTCCAAGACCAAACCTCAGGCAAAAGCTCTAGAGACCTTCAATAGAGAGAAAGAGAAGGAAGCCTTTGGTCCAAACTTTGGTAAGAATGATACTACTCTCTTTTATTCTAATTTGAATAAGAATGTCTGGAAGTCAATGATTAAAAGGAAGATATTCCCTGAAAGATTACTGAATGAGACTAAATTTGGAGAATTGGGTGTTTTGGAGCTACTGAAGAATACGTCTACTTGGAACAGTCAATAAAGTAAAACCATTTGTAAAGGATGTGGTCTTGAGTTCTATGCAAATTTGGTCAGTGGGGTTAATGATCATAAATCCCCAATGTTTCATAAAGCTTTTGTCAGAGGTCACTTGTTTGATTTTTCACCGGCAATTATCAATGACTTATGGAAGCCATATAACTGTTGTGGAGTGTCAAGCAAGCTATGACCAGATCATAACTGAGTTGACTGCAAATGTCCACCGTAGTTGGCCAGCCTCAAAATCTTTTCCTGCTGCTGAGTTAAGTTTGAAGTATTCTGTGTTGCACAAGATTGCCTTGAAGAACTAGATGCCTAGTACACATGCTACTGGTGTCAATAAGCCTCTTGCCAAATTGCTCTACATGATTGGTCTTTGTTTCTCCTTTGACATTGGACAACTCATTTATGATCAGATAGTAGGTAATACTGAAGTTCTGTTCACTCATCAGGTGCTTCCATTTCCTTCTCTCGTTTATGGTGTGTTGATGCCTCAAAACGATATTCAGAAGTCGGTAGAGGTGTTTGACAAATTTCTAGGAGAACTTAGAGTTTCAAAGAAACTTCACTCTGGAAAGCATGTGGATGATGTTCAGGGGGAGCTTTTCTCAGATTCTGAAGATGAGTTGCAGGAGGATGTTACTCATCATGTCTCAACTGGTGTCACATCCAGTTCCTCTCAATATGCTGCTGCTGTTCAAAAAGCTTGTACCATTCAGTACTTGCAGAAGGAATTACAAGATCTTGCTGCTCGTGAAAAGAGACTTTTACAGGAGCTCAAAGAAATTGATCAGCGCAAGAGGGAGGCTGCGGCGCTTCTTGAGGATCTCCAATCTTTTTAGCTACTAATGGAGTTGGTACTTCTTCCTAGTTTTTGTTTTATAGTTCTTACTGTCAACTTTTGTCTGCTACTTTACTTTGACAATCTTTTTGACAAAAAGGGGGAGTCATGTAATTGTTTGTAATTTATCCAGAACAACAATTTATGTATGTTGTCTATTTCTTTTGAATTTCTTAGCATTAGGATGCTTTCAGTGTTTTGCCAAAAAATGCCAAAATGAGAGATTGTTAGGACTGCTCTTACTTAGTTGGCAATTTTTTGCTGAAAATCGGTAGTATGAATTTAAAAAAAAAAACAGGTTTTTCCTCTTTGGGTTAGCTGCACCAAATTTGGAATGATCATCCGGATTTGGACTGATTTTGCTAAGATTGATTGGTGGCTGATTTGGTTGACTCGGCTAGTTGATTGGAGGTATCTATGGAAAGAATCCGTGGTGATTAATTTGCTTTTGAAAAGGTTTAGTGGTGTATGCAGCAAGTTGAATGAAGCTCTTTTGGGTCGACACTGTGTAGAACATTCTGTGGAGTTGAGTGTCTGTGATAGATTTGTTGTTTTGAGTGGAAAATCTTGCAGACTATCCTTATGGTGCATGTCAATACTTGACTGTGAAGCAATATTACAAAGTCGGGTAGTGCCCGCTGGACAAGTCCTTTAAGGAGACTCAACACAACGGTGATACGGTCAAGGAGGGAGTCTTTGAGTGTGTAAGACCGTTATTAGTGTTTGTAATCTTTCAATCTTAGTGGATTGTTCACTGTCTGGGCGTGGCCCCACAGATGTAGGTGTGCACACCGAACTGCGATATCAATTCCTTGTGTCTCTTACGTTTCTGCACTATTATTTTCTGCATTACTTCTGCACAATTATTTACTGGTTTCTGAATCTGAAACACTTAACATATCCTCAGTGTTTCAACTAGTGTTGTAACGCCAGGATAAAAGCAGACCTTTCATTATCTTTTCAGGTTTCTACTTATTCAGTTGGTGTTCATAATAGAAGTTGACAAGGACTAACAAAGATAGCAATGAGACAAAACAAAAGAGACTAATTTTTTACCGTCACATCTGAAAAGCCAACAAAATTGTCAAGCTCTCCAAAATGAGCCTGAACAGGAGCCTTAGCTTGGGCAGGGTCTGCAAGCTCTGATGAAGGAACTCCATAAAATGCAACAACAGCATCAACCTTAGGGATCAAAACAGAACTTGCAATAGAGAGAGCACCTCCCATGCAAAATCCCGTAACACCAACCTAGTCCAGCCACACCAGGGCCTATGTTAGACTACTTTTTGATGCAATGTACATGATAATACAGACCCATCAGACAGGTTATGACTGTGTGTCTGCATAATTCAACCAGTTGTAGTTTTTTTTTTTTTATAAGAAACTGATGAGCACCTTGTTCAATCAAGAAAGTGAAACATAGACAATGGCATACCTTCTTAGAACCATTTGCTTTCAGCCAGTCAACTGCAGCGCGAATGTCCTTTACAGCACCTTGCCAATCAAGACCATCCATTGCGTGTTGAGCTTCAGCAACATCTAAACATACCTTTCCTCGATACAAACTGCAGCAGAAAACCCAAGTACAATTTTTCAATTAAGAAAAGGTAAAAACCAAAAATACTTGGCAATGATAAACAAAAAAGGAAAAAAAATAAAAATTTAAAAGCAGTTGGTAACAGAGTAAGCGATTTTACTCCGGAATAAGTGCTTTAAATCCATCACCGAGTTGAGAAATTTTCAGAGCGTGGTTCTTGATTTCAAAATCCACACCCCACCACTCTTGAAGCACAACTATCCCAGGAGCATCTTCTTTGCCAACCACATACGCATCAAATGTCTGATGATCAATGATAGAAAAGAAAGAGTAAAACACACAAGGTTCACAGGGAGCCAATAGCTGGAAAAAGTAGCACTACATCTAAGAAATGAATAAAACGAATAAATAAACTAGCAACAAAATGGTGCAGCATTATATCAAACAAGCTATAAAGATAACCAACTTCACAAAAACAATTCAGCTACTGCCTTTTGAGTCGACACAGCGGACATTGCATGCCAAATTTGTCACCAACACAATAACAAAGCAATTTCAGACGGTCAAGATAAGGGTTTCAAAAGTTGACAATCCATTTCTAAGAAAACCACATAAGACAATAATCCGAAACATCATTTTTTTAGTTGTTAAAGATGATTGCCTTTCTTCTCTACATAAATGCCATAAATAGGAAAAAGAAAAAGAAAAGAAGAAAAAAATAATAATTTCAAGACTACAACGAACACCTGATAAGCCGCTGAAAGATAAAAACACGAAAATTTAAACCAAAACAGCCACAAAATCCAACAAATTCACAAATACTCGAAATCTACAAAGATTAAAGGTATGAAAAGCATTGGATAGAGAAGCGAGAATCAGCGAAGATTACAAAAAGGAAATTAGAACTCACAGTGTCGTCTCTCTGAATTTGGATCTTCTTGAAAGGCGACGAAGACGCTGCAGAGTCGGCCATCGCGCGGATCGAGAGGCGAGAGAACGGAGTGAGAGCCCGTCCGGCGGCGGAGAAAGCGGCGGTGGAATTAGGGGCAGCTCTCGTGAAGATTCTAGAACCAGAAGAAGAAGAAGTAGCTCTTGATCTCAGCACGACAGTAGCAGCTGCTGACATGAACGCCATTACTATCGCTTAAAAACACAGCCATGAGCCAACCCCACTTAAAAAATCACCGAGTGTTTAATTTTAATAAAATAAAAAATAAAAGAAGGTTCAAGATTGCGATCCAAATGATGCCGTTTCATTTGTTGGTTACGCTGTCGTTTTCTATATTCAAATTAGACAATTGCCCTTTAAAGGAACAGTCACCACCATGTCCAAGACTCAATTTTATCCAATTTCCAAACGACACAAACAATTGACATGGGGTCCGTTAGATAAATAGGAGTAAGTAAAAAATATTTTTAAGCAAATAAACTACAAAAAAAAATAATAATAAATTAGATAAATAGGTTAAGTTTCACATCAGTCATTTCATGTCATTAATTATATTTTTTAAGGGTTTTTTTTTTTCTCTTCATCCTCTTCCATTTCGCGTTATTTTCTTCTCGCAACCGCCTTCCATTTCTTCTCTCCTCTTCTTAAGTTCTTGTCGTCGCACAACTTCATTAACATTATTATCTTGTCTATTCAGCGCTTTTTTCTCATCCAAAACGAAGTTTGAAGAAGAACTACTAAGTAAGTCTTTCTTTTTCTATATCCCACATTGTGTTTTTCGTTATTGTTCATATGTTCTTAAGATGAGAATATAGTTAAAAATGTTTAAAAAACCATTAAAATAGCAATTTTACATGGTAAAAGACGGGTTTACATTGTCTGATATGAAGAAGATCTGCTGGGTTTAGAAAAAAAAAGTTTATTCTTGATCTGTTCATGGTCTCTTCTTGGTATGTTCTTATTATATGGTATGTTCTTGGTATGTTCTTATTTTATAGTTTGTTCTTGGTCTGTTCTTATTATATGGCCTGTTATTGGTTTGTTCGTGGTGTATTTAGTTTGGTTTAATGACATATTATTATCTTGATTAAATTTTTACAGTTTTAAAATCTAAAAAATGGCTCAGTGGAGGATTTTTTTTTTGACATTGGAGGAAATGGTGTGGCATACAGACTGTAATTTGATTGGCGTATATATAGATGAGAATGATACTCTCAAACCTTCGTTGCAATGTTTTTACACTTATTATATTTAACATGTTATTTTAGCTTTGGAGAAGCTTATAATTATGGAGAAATGTTACCTAAATTTTCAAAAAAGACCACGAACCGACCACACTTGACCAAAAATATAACATGATGATATTTTTGATTTTTTAAAAAGCTTCATACCAGTCCCAAATAATGGAGAAATATCCCATTTATAAAAGAGACAAATAACGTGTTCAAAAATGAAAAAAAAAACCATCAATAGACCAAGAATATACCAAGAAAAGACCACGAACTGACCACACTTGATCAAGAATAGATCATGATACTTTTTTTGATTTTTTAGAAAGCTTCATACCAGTCCTAAACAATGAAAAAATATCTCATTTATAAAAGAGAAAAAAAAGCGTGTTAAAAAATGAAAACACCATTAATAGACTAAGAACAGACCATGAACAAACCAAGAAAAGACCACGAATGGACCAAACTAGACCAAGAATAGACCATGATGATTTTTTTAATTATTTTGAAAGCTTCAAACCAGTCTAAAACAATAGAGAAATATCTCATTTATAAAAGAGAAAAAAAAAGTGTTAAAAAATGAAAAAACCATCAATAGATCAAGAAAAGACCACGAACCGATCACACTTGACGAAGAATACACCATGATAATTTTTTAGAAAGCTTCATATCAGTCCAAAATAATGGAGATATATCTCATTTATAAAAGAGAAAAAAAAGTGTTAAAAATGAAAAAAACCATCAATAGACCAAGAACAGACTAAGAAAAGAACACGAATTGACCACACTTGACCAACAATAGACCATGATGATTTTTTTTAAAGAAATATCTCATTTATAAAAGAGAAAAAAAACGTGTTAAAAAATGAAAAAAAAAACCATCAATATGATGCGATAGGTGCAACACAATAGGCACAACCAGCATATGGAGCACATAGGCAAGCGCAACATTCAAGAGATCCATTGAGTCTACCAAGTGGTACGTGACAAGGCTTAGAGTCAAACGCTTCAAGGAAGCATTGAATGGGCTAGTTCAACAAGTTGGAGACATAACAAACACATCGAGGCCCAACACAAGTCCAAACCTGAATGAAGAGAACCTAGTCACCATGATTAAGGTTCTAGAAGATTCAAGTTGAATTGCAAAGAGCTTAGCAAAGGGAGTCCAATTCAAATTGGCCGAATTGGGCTTAGGAGAAACTTTGTGGCCGAATTGGCTTTGGATTATAGTATGATCCGAATTGGACTTAGACTAGAATATGGTTTGCCGAGTTTGGGCTTAGCTTAGGTAATTAGATGTTTCAATTTTTCATTTGGGTTAAAAATTGCATCAACTATAAATAGGGTTGTAAAAACATGTTTTTGGAATTGAATAATAATATTGAGGTTTTTCATATTTGTGCTTTTTGGTTCTTGAGAAGACTTTGAACTTATCACGTACTTTTCTTGTGGCGTTCAAACAATCCAACTTATCATTGAGATTAATAGGTGATTCTTGATAATCTTGGTGTGGCGTTATTCATCTTTCGTAGTTCTTGATTCGCGTCTTGATAGACAACGGGTTAAGGCTCAACAATCTTGCGTCTTGAAGATCTTAGGGCTGTGATCCGCGTTTGGTGTTGGGTCTCGTCGCGTCGTTGGCGCAGTTCATATCACAATAAACTAAGAGCAGACCATGAACAGACCAAAAAAAGACTATGAACTGGCCACACTTGACCAAGAATAGACCATGATTATTTTGTTGATTTTTTAGAAAGCTTCATACCAGTCCCAAATAACAGAGAAATATCCCATTTGTAAAAGAGAAAAAAAAAACGTGTTAAAAAATTAAAAAAAAACATCAATAGACCAAGAACATACCATTAACTGGCCAACTAGACTAAGAACATATCAACCAGACTAAGAACAGACCAAGAACATATATAGAACAGACTAACCAGATCAAAAACAAACCAAAAACAGACCATAAATAGACAAGACAAATTGATATTTAATAATTTTTTTTTCACTTTTATAAATTTTAGATCATTGATTTATAACATTGATGTAAAGCACTGATTTTGAATTGAATATTTATTAATTTTTACAACGTTAGTTAATTATATCTATCACAACACAACATAACTTTATTTTAGACACGATGTCGTACATAATATGTAGAATTATGTTTTTACTGCTTACGTATCACGTCTAATTAAATACTTTTTATAAATTTATTATATTGTTTCATCAATATATTGATAAAGTTATGTCTTAATATTGAAAAAATAAAAAAATATGTTAAAATGTATTTTTTTAAAGTTTTATTAAGGTCTGTTCTAGGTTTGTCCTTGGTCAGATTCATTTGTTCTTGATTTGTTCTTGGTCTGTTTGGTCTGTTCTTGGTATGGTTGGTCGGTTAATGGTCTGTTCTCAGTCTATTGATGGTTTTTTTTAACACGTTTTTTTTTCTTTTACAAATGGGATATTTCTCCATTGTTTGGGACTGGTATGAAGCTTTTCAAAAAAAAATCAACAAAATAATGATGGTCTATTCTTAGTCAAGTGTGGTCGGTTCGTGGTCTTTTATTGGTCCGTTCTTCGTCTGCTCTTAGTCTATTAATGGTTTTTTTAACACGTTTTTTCTCTTTTATAAATGGGATATTTCTCCATTGTTTGAGTCTGGTACGAAGCTTTCAAAAAAATCAAAAAAATCATCATGGTCTATTATTGGTCAAGTGTGGTCGGTTTGTGGTCTTTTCTTGGTTGTTCTTGGTCTATTGATGAGTTTTTTCATTTTTTAACAAGTTTTTTTTCTCTTTAATAAATGGATATTTCTGCATTTTTTTGGACTCGTATGAAGCTTTCCAAAAAATCATCATGGTCTATTCTTGGTCAAGTATGGTCGGTTCGTAGTCTTTTCTTGGTCTATTCTTAGTCGGTTCTTAGTCTATTTATGGTTTTTTCATTTTTAACACGTTTTATCCTTTTTATAAATGAGACATTTCTCCATTGTTTAGGACGAGTATAAAGCTTTCTAAAAAATAAAAAATATTATCATAGTCTATTCTTGGTCAAGTGTGGTCGGTTTGTGGTATTTTCTGAAAATTTGAACAACATTTTTTCATAATTATAAGCTTCCCCAAAGCTAAAATAACCTGTTGAATATAATAAGTGTAAAAACATTACAATGAAGGTTTCGAGAGTATTATTCTCATCCATATATACGCCAATCAAATTACAGAATGTATGCCACACCCAACAACTTTCATTCTCATCCTATTTTCCTCCAATGTCAAAAAAAAATCCTCTACTGAGCCATTATTTAGATTTTAAAACGGTAAAAATTTAATCAAGATAATAATATGTCATTAAACCAAACTAAATATACCACAAACAGAGCATTTTCCTCCATTTTCCCAACAACTTTCATTCTCATCCCATTTTCCTCCATTTTTTTTTCGTTTTTTTTTTTTGAAGATAGGATTTATTTAAAGGCTAAGCTAATAATATGGATGACAAAAAAAAGTTTAATCAAGCTCAAAGAGGTGACTAGGGGTATTATTTCAACAAGGTAAGTTCAGATGGCTCAAACGATCCAAAAATGGCCTAAATAATTTCCTTAGTGATAAATTGCCTGGGATTTCACCTCGAGTGATAATCAAACAAGTTCTAGAGTCCGGTGAGATCTTAAGAAACACGAAATTCACATAAACTTTTTCTAAGTTCACAACATGGTCAAGTGTTCTTAATTATGTGCTCAACAACGTAAGGAAATCATAAGTAGAGTAAAACCAACAAACAAGTCAAGCACACAAACAATCAAATTATTCATTGTTTCGCAGAAGCCATAGTTAAGTTCAATCGTTGTCTCATCATCGGCCGGGGCGAAACAAGCCGAACCAAAGTTCAATTTTTTTTTTAATAAACTGAATAAAATAAGATAGTTAACTCCCCCAAACTTAAAACTGACATTGTCTTCAATGAAAAAGTAACGCAAGAGAGTTTAGAGGACTTT